AGACCCCTCTGACCACCCGCGAGGCGCCCTCTCCAGGCCCAGGGGGAGGGGGTAGGGGGAGGGGTAACCCCCTCCCCGAAGGGGAAGAAGGGGGGTTGAGAACAGAGAGAGCTCTCTAAACCACTCACGCCCAAAGGGCTGGTGGGATTCCGTCGATACCTGCACGCCGAGCAAGTGAGATATCCTTTCGCATCCTTCGGCATGGGCTCCTGCAGGAGCTCACTGGTAAAGAAAACGTGCCCGTGATGGCACAGAGGTTACCTTATCGCGTGATGTGGCTTGGCTGGAGATGCCAGGGCAAGCAGGTGGGGCCGCGGATCCCCTTGCCAGAATCTCAAGTGCTGAGCGAAGCGCTACGGACTTGAGCCAAAATGGCTACGGAGGAGGACGAGGAGGAGGGCGAGGAGGAGGACGAGGAGGCGGAGGAAGAGGCGATGTGTTCCAGGCGGAGTCTCTGGAGCTCTGGGCCACCCCCCCGGGGACGGGCTCTCACGGCGATGCAGGCAACGGCGATGCAGGTCTTGGCAGTGTGGGAAAGCGCGTGGCTCGCGCTTTCCGACGATTCGCCGTGTCGTGTTTGCCCGATCCGCTCGCAGATTGGAGCTGCAGGGAAGTGTGGTTCGTGGTTTCCTACAAAGTGGTTCCCAACATCTCCGTTGATCAACATCTACGGCGTTGGCACTCCCTGGGGATCGGTTTCAATCAGGGGGGCGAGTTCGCGCACCGACATGGCATTCCCAGCGTTGATCGGACCCCGGAGAAACAAACCTTTCTGCGAAAGGGCGCGCGGAGCGTCATTACTCGCGCGCCCCCACACCAGGGCGCCGCAGGCGCTGCCTTCGCGCCCCTTCGAATACATGCAAATTGAGCTTAATTTCCAAGGGCCGATGCAGCGCACCCGCGCGCAAATATGTGCAATCAGCATCGGATGTCCTATGCGCCCTAATTGCGCACGATGTGTAATCAGCATCCCTAGATAGGACGAATCCATGCTCCGATGCGGTGCGGGGGCTCTGTGCGGACGGGGCGACGGGGCCAGCCTGGTCCGGCGGGGCTGCCGGGCCCACCGCACAGCTCGTGCGCGTTGTCTGCGCAGGCGCGCCCCAATTCGCGGCGGCAGAGCGCCAGCGGTTACTGCGAGCCGCTGGTTTTAATTCCCATCGATCCCCTACGCATCATGCTTCTTGGCTCTGACGGGATTGCCTGACGTGGTGGGGCTCCCTGCGACCACGTCGGCGAAAAGGAGTCTTCCGCATATTGGCCGCCCTGGATTCCGTCTCGACGGCCCCGGGGCCCGGCGAGGGCCCGCAGACGCCGAAAACGACTAGGCATTGGCGATTTGGGTGCCCTCCTCCTCCCTCCTCCTCCTCCTCCTCCTCCCCCCTCCTCCTCCTCCTCCTCCTCCTCCTCCTCCTCCTCCCTCCCCTCCTCCTCCTCCTCCGCCTCCTCCCTCCTCTTCCTCCTCCTCCTCCTCCCCCTCCTCCTCCTCCTCCTCCTCCTCCTCCTCCTCCTCCTCCTCCTTCTCCTCCCCATCGACCTCCTCCTCCCCCTCCTCCGTGTGTCCGTGCGCACCCGGGTACCCCGCCCCGTGCCCCCGAGGCCGCGCGCCGCGGCCGCCAGGCCCAGAGCGCGCCCGTGCCCCCTCCCGGCGATCCCGCCCCGCGCTTCTCGGGCGGGCATCGCCCGAGAAGCAGCAGAACTGCTTCAAGTCGGGCCTGTCCCCTTACTCGGGGGCGGAAAAGAGGGGGGTGATGACTAGGGGGGGGGGGGATATCATGGCGGGGGCCATGATATTTCCTCAGATTTCATGGCGCCTCTTTTTGTTTCATTACGTCCCCAGCCCCCTTGGGCCGCGCACATGTCGCCCATCATGATTTGCACCCCCCCCTCTTGGACACCCCCCTCTTGGCCGCTCCCGACCTACGGGAGGAATACACGTTTGGATTATGTTTTAGCATGCTTGACATATCTTAATGGTATTCGGATTTTTTCGTCCAGCATCCGCCTGTAAGGGGGACATGCCCGATGGGGTCGGAGCAGATGAGGTCGGAGGATCCTGCCGCATCGCCGATGCATCGCCGATGCGGCTCGATGTGGAGCCTGATTTGCTTCACGTCGACGTCGCCGATGCACCGCCAATATCGACGATGCGTCGCCGGTGCATCGCCGATGCATCGCCTGTCCCTCTACAGGAGGAATATTTTGAAATTGTAGAAATAGTTTTGGGACGATGTTTGTTGATTATTTCTGAGCATGTTTTGTTTATGTTTAGGGTATTTTCAATGTTTCGTCCAACATCCGCCTGTAGGGGGACATGCCCGACCTAACAAGTGCTCAACACGTCGGACTCTGAGATCCGACTCCGCGAAACAAACATCGTTGCTTTATTCATTGGTGTTCCCATCGGCGCGGACCCTCGCACCCCCCCTCTCCTCCCCACCCCGGTGGAGTAGATCCTGGCTGTTTTCGGCGCCTGCTTCAGGCAGTGGAAGTCTCCCCCGTAGGACGCGCTGTTGCATGCAAGCAGTCGCAGGATGCAGGGGTCTGGAGCCAGCCCCCCCCCTCCCCCCCCCTTCCCGCCCAAGGTCGAAACGCCGAGTCAGGAAACGGCCGGAAGGAGGAGGAGGAGGAGGAGGAGGAGGAGGGGAGGAGGAGGAGGAGGACGCCGGAAGGAGGAGGACGAAGAGGAGGGGGAGGAGGAAGAGGAGGAGGAAGAGGAGGAGGAGGAGGAGGAGGAGCCCTACACCCCATCGACCTGCGCCGCGTGCCGAGCCGCATGGCTCCGAGAGGTCGCCCCGGGGCCCGAGCAGGACTCGAGGCGAAGAGCCCCCACTCCTCCTCATCCTCCTCCTCCTCCTCCTCCTCCTCCTCCTCCCTCCTCCTCCTCCTCCTCCTCCTCCTCCTCGCCTCCTCCTCCTCGCTCCTCCTCCTCCTCCTCCTCCTCGCTCCTCCTCCTCCTCGCTCCTCCTCCTCCTCCTCCTCCTCCTCCTCCTCCTCCTCGCTCCTCCTCCTCCTCCTCCTCCTCCTCCTCCTCCTCCTCCTCCTCCTCGCTCCTCCTCCTCCGGTCCGAGCTCGAGCGGCGCGAGATCGACGCCGGGGCCTCGAGCCAGGAGGCCCCGGCGACGGTCCAAGGGGGGCCCCGAGTCGCCGAACGGTCGGTCCAAGACGCCTGGGCGGCCTCCAGACGGCCCAAGATCAGGAGGAAAAGAAACACACAGACACAATTAATCCTCGATTATCTAGAAAATATTGGGAAAATATGGGAAGTGGGGGGGAAGACAAAAGCCCAGAAAATATAGGAAAATATGGGGAATCTTTTTATTTGTGTGTATTAATTTGTGTGTCCTGGGGCCCCTTCACAAGAGCCCTGCAAAAAACGCCCCAAGAGGCCTCCAGGAGCACTCCCAAGGGGGCCCCCAGTGGAGACATCGCGCAGTTCCCATGGGTGTTTGTGAAGCACTTCGGCGCTCTCGCCCCTGCCGCTTCCCGACGCTCCAAGACGGCCCAAGAGGGGGCAGATGCCCCACGCGTTGGAAGCCTGGACCCCTGCCGCGCACGTGGCATCGCTTGGACGTGTGCGCTGCGATTGTTTTCGCATGCGTTGCTTTGTCATCGGCGCGGGCCCCAGACCCCCTCGCGTGCTGACAAAATCACGACGGAAGGTTTTTCCCAGTTTTCGGCTTCTGGGGGCCCTCGTCGGGCCTCGCGGGGCCGCCAGAAAACGAGTCGGGATGAAAAAAACCGGCCCTGGGTCGGGCCGAACGGAATGGGGGGGATAGGGAAAGGGGGGGGGGTACGAAATCTGCTGCATGCAGCTGGTTTCGGCCCCGCCTCCAGGCCCGTTCTTCGATACACGGGCGCCTCCCGGCGCCGGGAGGCGCTGGGAAAATCAGCTGCGTGCGCTGATTCCCTATATACCCTGCCCTTGCTGTCCCCCCCTTTCGTTCCCCCCCCGACCGGGGAAGGGGTCGAGGCCTCATTATGGTGATCGACGTTGTATGAGATCACGGCGTTTGGGGCCTTGGGCCCTCCCATGGAGCAGATCTTGGCTGTTTTGGTTGGGGGGGCCTGTTCCGAGCAGGTGGAGCCTCCCCCACAGGGCGCACTGCTGCAAGCAGTCGCACTAAACCGAGGTCTGCAGCCAGCCAGACCCTCCCCCCGCTTTCCCCCCCCCCTTTCGCCGAGTGTCGACACGCCGAATAAAAAAAAACGTTCGCATTCATTTTTCCCCCGCCCAGGATCACCGAAGAGCATCCTGGATCCTCTCGCGACAAAAAAGCTCGCACGAAACCGACAAATGCACGGGGAATGGACGTCCGAGTCCGAGCGATGGCAAGCCCAGACATCTGGCTGCTCCACTCTTTTTCGACGCGTTGCCCCCGGAGGTCCAGACCATTCCCCCATGGGCCCGGCTTCTCCCCCTGAGTCGTTTTTGGGCGGCGAGGCTTGGCGAGGGCCCCGAGAAGCCGAAAGATCACCACAGAACCGCCCGCTCTTTTGTTGGAGCGTCGGATCTTTGGGTCCCCTGAATTATGATTTTTCATGACATCGAACCCCAGAGGTCTCGACCACTTCCCCGGGACCCGTTTTGCATCCTGGGCCGTTTTCTGACCGTCCCGAGGTCCGGCGAGGGCCCCCCGCCGAAAACGACGCAAAACGACGAAGACCTCCGAAGAACCTCCGGCCGAAAACGACGATCTTTTTGTTGGAGCGTCGGATCTTAGGGAGCGCAGCCGCGGAGGCGCGCGACCGAGCCAACTTCGCACGGCGCCGCCGCCGCCGCCGCCGCCGCCGCCGCCGTCGTCGTCGTCGTCGTCGTCGTCGTCGTCGTCGTCGTCGTCGTCGTCGTCGTCGTCGTCGTCGTCGTCGTCGTCGTCGTCGACGTCGTCGTCGACGTCGTCGTCGGCGTCGTGGTCGTCGTCGTCGTCGTCGTCGTCGTCGTCGTCGTCGTCGTCGTCGTCGCCGTCGTCGTCGTCATTTGGCGCCGCCGCGGCGAGGAG